ACAAAACTGAAATTTATTAGATAATTATTAATTAAAAAATGTGACCACAAATTAAAAAATTAAAATGGATAAATTTGTCAATAAAATTAAAAAATTCTAATCCACTAGCGGTTTGGTACAAAAAGCTACTTAAACTAGCTTTTTCAATCCGTTAGCGATTTGAATCCTAACTGCTATTTGCTAGTTTCAAACCGCTAAATAAAAATTTTACCAAACACTTTAGTTGTAACGGTTTCAAAATATTTAAATTTACCAAACACCTATATTTAGCGTTTTAGGTAAAATCGCTAATCGGTACTCCAAAACCGTTATACCAAACGGGGCCATAGAAAGAGACCAATGTGCTGGACCTGACTTGGCCCACAGATATTGACAATAATGCCACACTGACGACTTGGAAAAAAATTGAGGTGCACATAGCAAGCAGCCACAATTTCTACACGTTGAAAGCGTCGCGTGTGGAATGTGTGGCCTTCCTGAATATAACATTGGATGAATTATGATTTCAACACTTGACAAGACGAAAACAACCCAAAGCTAACTCATTAACTACCTAAAAGTTGGGTTCTATTAATTAAAAAGAATTTAAAATAATAATAAATAGACCAAGATTTTAGTATAAATAAAAAAAATTATTTAAATAAAATATTCAACATATACTATATTTAAAAAGAAATTAATTGTCATATATTTTTTCGCTCGTCATAGTAATTGACACTGCAAGGGTCAGTTGCCGATCAAAATAAACTGCTTCAGCTTTCTAAAAGACCTCCTTATTGCTGCCTATTTTGACCCATTAATTAATCAATTCACCTACCCTAGAAAATTTGGTTAGGGTCACTGAGAACATATAGAAAAATAATAATGTGCTGACTTGACTTGGCCCATAAATGTTGACAATAATGCTGTACCGCCCACTTGGAAAAAAATTGAGGTGCACCCAACAAGCAGCCATAACTTCTAGGTTTCGGAAGTATCATGTGTGGAATGTGTGGCCCTCCAAAGGATAACAACGGACTACCCTTTGAATGACCATAACTCTACAATTTGAAAGTATTGTGTGTGGAATATATGATCTGAAGATAACAACGGATCATTTCTTAAATGGGTCTCGACTCCAACAGTTAGGTCCCGTTTGGTATAGCGATTTTA